AACAAACAACTTTAAACCCTCTTCCATATAACCATTCTGTACATAACCCGAAATCAAAGTATTCCAAGAAACCACATCATTCAACTCAGGCACCCTCCAAAAGATCTTCAAAGCCATTTCCATCTCACCTGCTCTACAACATGCTGCCACCATTGAGTTTTTGGTAACCAAATCAACCACTTCATAACTCCTATTGAAAACCCTATACGCGTCCTCAAAACATGCACACTTTGAATACATATCAATAAGAGAACTCACAGTAAACCCAGTAACATCAGCGCTCGTCTTCACCATAAACGTATGCAACTGTCTTCCATAACCTACATTCAACAACTTGGCACACAAATTAAGCATTCTAGTAATAGTAAACTCATCAGTTTTCATATCTTCACACTCATTTTGCATTTCTCGAAACAAATTAAGCGCATCAGCTTCATACCCATCTGCACTCGCATAACCAGATAACATTGAATTATAAGTTACCAAATCCCTGTGAGGAGCGGAGTCAAATAATTCCCGCGCTTGTTTTAAGTTCTGGGTTTTTATATGGGCTGAAATCATTGCGTTCCGTGAGAAGACATTTCGTTCAGGCATTTCATCGAACAGTTTTTGAGATTCATGTAAAAAGTTGTGTTTCGAGTAGACATGAATAAGCAGGTTTGTGGTGGAAGTAGGTAGCGTGAAACCGGCTTTAATGGCTTGTACATGGTACACTAGAGCATCTCTCAACGACCTCATATTCATATATCCATGTGGTATTAATAAAGCCTTAGCTTCGAGACTCAAGTCCGCAGCCGCAAAAGAGAAGAATACAAATAGACGTGAAGTACGGTAAATTTCTACTTCTAAGTTTAATGTTCTAATCACTCTGTTAAAATAAACAATAAATCATGTGATACTCTTTTAACGCTTATGGCCGTTTAGATGAGGTTAATATTAGATAATAGGGTAATATTTTTTAAATTGAGCAGATGAAGATATTTGATTGATTTATAAAAAATTATTCTCGAAATCTTTTATGACAAGTAGTGGCATTTGGGGGTAAGTTGCCTGGAATATTATTACCTTGGGGCGCTGTTATTAAAACTTGCTCAAGGTAATCTAATTTTGTGTCCCATATTGCCCCAAAATAGTTAAGCATTTGGTCCAAATTAGTTTTATACTTGTTAAGATTTATAAAACACATAATTCACTCATGCAGGCCCTTTTGTCTTCACTTTTTAAAGTTTTCGGACGACATTGCTCTTGTTATTGTCATTATTTACAGAAATCTCATTGTACGCAGAACTAACCACCATCGCCAGCCACCGTCGACCGCCGTCGAAGGCTACCAAAAGTTGCTATAATGGCGTATGATCGGTCATGCACTGGTGAGGCCTTTTCCAACCATGGATCTGTCCAGATCTATGGCTGTTTCACGGCCAGATATGTGGCATTGTTGGTGGCCACCGACGGTGGTGGTTGGCTGCCAACAGTGGCTTGGGGTGGGTAGGATTGTTTTTATTAAGTTTAAAACATGTTTTGTTGCTATGATGTTTTTGCTAAATCTGAAAAGTAGAGAGTTAAAAGAATTATTCAAGAAATAATAATAAAAAATACTATTATATTAATATTTAAAAAGGAGGGCAATTTAGTAATCTATATAATATACCCACCTATTTATCCTCCCAACCAAACATATTATTTATCAATTTATTCGAAACAATCAAACACATTTTCTAAACATTTTCAGTAATCTTCAAGGTAATTTTTTATTCCATTAATATAATATCCCCTATAATAAAACATTATATGATCCAAACGCTCTTTATAGGTAATTGTATTAAACAAATTTACAGTATTATAAAAAGCAAAGAGACTCATCTCTGAGTAGTCTACATGGTTAAGACGAATTGAAGATAGTATGGGTAGATGCACTATCTCAAGTTTGATTCCCCATATCACTATTAGCGATTTAAGTGGGGGACCGTGAGAGTGAATTATTACACCAGTATCTCTCGAAGATTAGTCGAGATGCACGTAAGTTAACTCAAACACCTTGGTTTAAAAAAATAATAATAATAAAAAAAGGTGATTTAAAAGATATAAGAAAAACAAAAATATTTTTAGTGTATTGTTGAATTGATAATAGAATATAAGAATATAGAAACTATTCCGACAATATTTGACCTAATTTACTTTACTTTTAAATTATTCAAATATGTTATAACGAATGAGTTTCATTATGTTATAATGAAATCAGTTTGTAATACCCAACATATCAAAAGTATATTCCTAACTCAAAATATTCATTTAGATGTTAATTTTATGTTAAAAAGGCATAAAATCTAACTAAGGGCAAAATAGTCATTTTGCCTATGGATAAGCATTAAAAAAGTCAAAGATGAGTAGGCTTAATTGCATTTAATGACATTAATTAAGTAATAGTTATGTTTAGTACAAAATGCCCTTATATGAACAATTATTGACTTATGAGTTATACAATTAAAATAATTGGGTCAATAGATAATTTTAGAAAATAAATGAAATATTTTCCTATAAATGAAAGGAAATTCGTTCAAGCCAAGGGAGAGAGCATTTCTTCAACCTTTCTTCTATTTTCTCTTAAATTTTCCATGAAACAAGCATTCTCTCTCTAAGTTCTAAAAAAGTTTTGCATAATTTTTCAAAGAGAACAAGATAGGAGTTTTGGATCTTCAAGTTGAAGGGTTTAAGGTAAGGATTAAAAACCCTAGTTTTGATGTGATTTGAAGATTTGAAGTAGATGTTTAGGTATAATGTTACATATGTAGGATTAAGGTATAAAAGAAGACAAAAACAAATGATTTATTGGAGGAATTCTTTAAAAAGGTAAAGAAGAATCTCCCATGACTTTAGGGATTATGCTAGGGTTTGTAGATTTTTATGAAACCTTAAATTAAGGCTTTAAGGCATAGAATTAGTTGATGGCAAGTGTAGTTGAACTCATTTATTCTACTTATTGCCTTGAATTCATTATACATGAAGTTATTGCTATTTATGTTTTATGAGTTGTTATGTTTGATTGAAGAAAATGAAGTGTGGATACTGATTGTGGCAAAAATTGTAGTATTGGAGGCCACATGGTGTTGAATGGTTGCTATTAGAAGTGTTGATGTGTTGTTTGCATTAGCTTACAATGTTATAACAATAATGGATGATTATGGGAATGAGATTTTATACTTCCTTTAAGATGTTAAAGACTACTGGAGGGAGGGGGGGTGGGGGTTATTTTATCCATAAGTTGATATATTGGTTAATTGTCAATAGGAATTGATGTGGCATAGTTTATATGAAAAATTCGGACTTGGCAAGCTTAGGGGTTATGTTAAACATGCTTCAGTGTTTCGATCATAACTTGAGTTATAAAAATCAAAATGAGATAATTCTTGAAGCATTAGAAATTTAAGAGATAGCCGTACAACTTTTATGTTTATGCTAAGAGCCAATTCGTTGTTGAAATGGATGGAAAATGGCTAGAAGTATAAACTTCTGGTTATTAAAGTTTAAGATTTAACATGATCAATTCTTATGATTATGAATTGATTATTAATGTATTATTGTAATTATGTTATGTACTAATGTTTACCCATTAGTTAGATGATCTTTGAAAGATATACATGGTTATAATATCAATGCATGATTAATGTTATGAAATGGCATGAAGATGCAATGTAATACATGTTTTAAGATGATGAATGTGAGCAAGAGGTAATGTAAATAGATTGATAATCCATAGATGAATTAAAAGTGTTAAGCTCACTAAAATATGTATTTACATGCCATAAGATATTAAAGCTGCATATAGACATGATGACAAACGCGTAAACATATCCTTGTATACTGGTTGAGGAAAGATGAATATATATTTTAGATGCTAAATAACGCATAAGCACGCCTCTTGATGATATGAGCTCTAGATGATTTTAAGGCTAGATGATATGAATTGCTTAAGCCGCTAAGAAAAGTCCGATTGACTACACATTAAATGCTTCATATGCATTTAATTGCATTACATGAGTTATGATATTATGTACATCATGAGATGATTTATACTCATGTTAGATGATATTTAGATGTTATATTATGACGTGTAATATGTGTATACTATGTTTACATACTTATTTGTATGTGTATGCATTGATGCTTGTATAGTCATGGAATAAATGAAGGTCAAATAACACATTTAGAATGAAATAGATCATTCCTTACTGAGCGATTAGCGCTCACCCTTTCATTGTTGATTGCTTTGTAAGTAGACCAGAAGCGAAGGATGCAAGAGACAGCGGGGCTACACTTGAGGGGAGATGATTTATTGTCACCTTGATGTAAATAATATAAATGATAAATGTTTGTGAAACGCCTTTGGAAGCTTCCACCCAATAAATATGTTTTGATTGTGTAATTTCCAGATAAATTCCTAAAGTTTTTGAAATTATAATTTTGGATCCTGCGTGACATCTTATATGCATGTTTTGGATATTATTATTATTATTATCCTTATTCCTTACATTGGTTTTTTTTCTAAATACAACTCGTTCTCCAAACATGTATCCCTGATATTCTTATTGAGGGATATTCAAAGGATACCTGACTAGAGGGGGGTTTTACACAGTTTCTATAAATGAGTTTGTATCAAAACTTCGTACAAATAATATCACCAAAATATAAATGATGACACAATATAAACATAAATAACTAAGTTAGAAGACTCTACTAGTTAATCTATTAGGCTTCACATTGGAGAAGCTCATTTTTTATAGGCAAATGTAAGCCATGGTCATGAATAAGAATGGAACTCAAGAGAGACAAATCAGTTTCATAAAAGTTGAAAGGGGGGAATGAAGAAATATTGCTGTATAATTCTACATACTTAAAGCACAAAAGGGTGTATCAATTTATGCACTGGAAGCAGATAATAAACTAGCCATGCATGTCTACAACTCCAAACTGAAAAATGGTGACCAGAAAACAAAGATGAGCATCTTGGAGGGTTTTAATTCTCCTGTCAATTCTAATAACTGGAACAAGTCATCTAGTCCCATGTTCACCATTGTTTACAGCATTGATTGATGGTAGAGAACTTTGGCACCGGCATACACCGTCCTTGCATCATCTGCACAAAAGGATTTCACAAAAATATAGTGTTATTCAGCTAGTAATATCATGTCAGTAATGTAGAATTGCAGAGAATTGGGTCAAAAGCTCAAGTGAATAAAATTATTATCAAGCGCAATTCATAGCATGTGAAATGTTCTGTGCCACTTTCCCTTCCATTTGGATCGAGGGTTTGCCAGTGTAATGAACACTTATATTTGATGATTATTATCCTAAGTGCCCAAATTTACTGACAAGGTAACATTTTGGTGATGACACAGTTATTTTGAGATAGATCAACTCAGTTTTGTTCTACTCCAAATTACACATCAAATGGGGCCTCCATTACAAAAGCCACTGAGTTGGTATACTCTTCTTTGTTTCAAGGGTTGAGTTCAACCGACTTACAGTAATCCTATGGGAAAAAAACAAGGTCTCAATGCTATCCAAAAAGTTTGTACCCTCCAAATGCTATAATTAACAATATAATGTATCTCAATTCATGGGCATCCCATCACCCTCTAATCTGTTACTCTTTCATTGAAGTTTTTACTCATGGAGCTGTTATACATTCATGTAAACAGTCAATAAACTCAAGCATACCTGCAATTGCTGTCAAACTAAATTCAGAAGGCACATTGGTCTCTGCCTCAACAGCAGCTTTGGCTGCTGCAATTCCTACTGCCACACTCTGAATAACATCTAAACCTGCACAAACAGAAGCAAGTGTCCCACCAACCAAGCAATCACCAGCTCCAGTAAGCCTCACAACCGAAGCAGGAAGTGCAGGAATATGCATAGCAAAAAACTGAGAGCCTCCTTTTAGGTGCATAGCATCAGAATACCAACTTGAAGGACAGCCTGAATTTACAATATCGTATAACTTTCTACTGAATCCATATTGATTGGTTCCCTCCACACCGATCTTCATGGAGTTCAGTCCTCCTTTAGAGCATAAAAACACTCCATCTGGACCGAGCGTCACAACAACAGCTCTTATACCTTTCTCTAGCAAAACCCAGATTGCTGGTTTAAGCGTTTGGAATAAAGATTCTATTGAATATTTATTATCCCTGTTGATTGGATGAAAAATGTCTTGACCAGACAATGCATTTGCCATGGAAACTAGTTCATCTTCATTAGGAAATGTAGCACTTATCTGTACAATACCTCGTCATCAGTTGCAGATAATAAAAACTTTAGTAAAAAGAAGAGAATGAGCCATATTGTATGACCAAGTGCAATTTATTATCAGATTAGTTTAAATTTTCTAAGCATCTAAAAGAATGTGAAAAATTGTACACTGAAACACAATTTGGAGAAGGAAAGATATCGGCACTGCTTCTAGTTTACAACATGATCGTAATGATGATAAAAAGTGAATTATATTCCATTTACAAAGCAACTTTTCCAACTTTGTATCCCAAGTGATTCATAAACATCACATACACGGTGAGATAATGTAATAAGTGATATAGTTTGCTTCCTTAGAATTTACGTAAAATCCATATAACGCCCAAAAATCATAACACTCACATACTTGGCAACTGAGGCAATTCTTCTGGATTTTGTGACTGATACAGTCTCAAACCATACAGGAACATTGGACTCTGCTGCCACTGAGATAAAGAAAGCAAAACTTGGAAGTAAATAATAAATAGAACAAGGTGCAAATGAACAAAGCAAAAAACTATTACTAATAGCATAGAAAATAAGCCAGTGAGCTATAGTGAAGAGAAAGGGGAGACTCGGGGAGATCAAGAATCTAAAGTGATATCTTAAGTTACTTCTACAAGAAGCTTCTAAAGCAGGAGGACTTAGATTTGCATCAACCATCAAGACAGGAGCAGAAGATATATTGCGCTTGAATAGCCGAATCCACTCAGGTGTGAGAAATTTTTCCTGCATTCAAGTCATCATTTTGACAACGAAAGCTATCATGGAACTATTTAAGTAAGTTGGCAACAAATTCCGTTCCTATTTGGAACATGAATCAATAAAAGGCAACTTACAATAGCCTCAACACTTGCAACACCAGCTACTACTTCTCCTTTGGCATCGAATATATTGGAGACAACAGCAGTACTGATATCTTGTTGCCTTCGAATGCCTACTCCAGAAACAAACAATGAAAGAATGTAGTCAAATTTATTATATCATCTTCAAGAAGAACAAAATAAAAGGTGAATGATACTTGACTTTTTGTTTGATGATCCATTTGCTTGACTAGAAGAAATAGAGAGAAAAGAAAACTGACATTGTTACAAGAGGCCTAGGAAGTGGCTTTTCAGAAAAACTTTGAAAGCTCACTACTCCAGTCCTATCAACTAAAGTACAAAAAAATTATTTTAAACAGGATTCAGATAAAAGCATCGTGATCTATCAGATAAAACTTCAGAATAACACATGCTTCTCTCCATTCTCAATCCTACTACGAATTATTTTCTTTTGAAAAGTTAAAAAAAAAAAAATATCCAAAAATGTTTTAAGGTTATTCTGATTTCTGTTGTCTTTGACATTTCCCAACAGCCTGCACTCTATAAGATATGCCACAGTAAATCCTGTATCAGAAATGTCTCAACATTAAATCAAGTTTGAAACCAACAAGTCAATAATCTATTTGGAAGCAGAGAACGTCTAATCAACTTGGTGGACCTCTAATGAGAGTAGAAACTAGTTTATTGTAGTAGGCATTCAACCCAACTTTTAACACATTTCCAAGTCTTCTATGGTGTTATTTCTTATCAAATGTGGAGATAGAATATACATGGTCCACACAGATTTTGGAAACATAAAATAAAAAATGGCATTGATGAAATCTTATGGCATGATAGTTCACCACAGGTAAAGAACAAAAGGTCATAAACATGAAAAGATCAACCTTCTGTAGATAGCTCAGCAGATTTCCAGGGCTCCAACAGCAAATTTCCTAGTAAAAAGAAAAAATGGAAACAAATAGAAGAAGAAAGAAAATTTTCAACTATACAAAACCTTATTACTACTGACCAAATATAATCATGACTAAAATAAATTTTTATGATAATAATACTGAAAATAAAAACACCCCTACATACAGGCCTGTCAAGAACATCAAATATAGAATAATCTACAATGTAAATCTTATATCCACTTTCAGATATTCGATATAAAAATTCTACACAACATAAAAGTAAACAAATATATGAATTATTCATTCACCTATAAATATTAAATTAGTTTAGTAATGAAAAATAATGATTCACAGTGGTCACAAATCCGATACTCTATGTAAAAGAACCGCAATAAAAATGTCCTAATTTCTGGATTGCCTACCACAATCTTTACATGTAACCAATTATGAATTTTTAACCAGACCTGGTATATGGTGATTTCTTATAACCACAAACAACAATACAAACAAAAGCAACAAGACATTTAAAGAATTACAAGACTCTCATCATTAGCATAAAGTGAAAGAAAATCACCTGCCATGTCAAGTCCCACAGCACTAATCATGTAAGGCTTAGCTCCAAGCTTTGACATACACTCCGCAACGTTTCTTGCTACACCCCCTTCTCTATAATGCACCTGTATATACAAAATTTGATACACTCACAAGCGCATTTTGTTAAAGCTACCAATTTTACAAAATAAAAAATAAAAAAAATAAATAGTGCTTAGTGATCATCAATTTTATCCACAAAATCAAAACCAAAATTCACAATTTTGAAATGGGTTTCTATAGAATTCGGGAACTTCAAACTTACAATCACTACCCCTGTTTATTTATCATTAAAGGGATAGTATCATCGAGCTAACATAAGAACCCAGTACCAATGCAATATAAGGGAGAAAATCCTAACTATCACATAAAAATTTTTAACAAAAGAAGAAATTTTAAGCGTATTGATCAATGTTTATAAGATTAAAAGCACCTTGCCAGGAGTAGTGGTTCTCGGGTTAGCAGGGACAGAAGGAGTAGCATGAATGTCCAACACCATGCCTCCTATGATCACCGGCTCCACTTGCTTTTCTAACTCCACGCCCTTTAACAAAACCTTTTACACAATCAAACAAAAATGAATGGCTATCAATGAATCAAACAAAATTGAGAACACAAAGAATCAAAATGTGATAAGTTTACTTGATGAAGCCCAGTATTTTCTTCACGTGGCTGCAAAAGATGGCGAGACAAAGCCTCCATTCGTCGCCTCACACTACTCTCCATTATCCCCTTTCTTACTTCACGAGACTCTGCACAGTTAGAGAGCCGCAATCTTACAGGGACTTCAGCACAAGGACAGAGTCATGCATTTGACTCCAATGAGACATGTTCTTGATTTGGTTTGGGGGCTAATTTTTTTATCTCCCCTCAGGTTTGTTTGAATAATAAAGACCCCTGATAATTTGAAAGTTATCACTGATCTCCTCCAATTCTTTGTTCTGTTCTGGGGCTAATTTTTTTTTGCCACTTAAACAGTTAACACTTTGGTTTGGGTTGGCTGTGTGTCTATCTAAGTACACTCTACCATGATATTAAGTAAACTCTAGGCTCTTTGTTGTTGATGCTGGGTATGCTTAGAAGTATCTGGGAGTACATTTGGTAATACTCTTCTAAATTCCTCAACAGGCTGAAAATGATCTTCAACAAGCCCATAAACATATTGGGCCTAGCTTGTGAAGCTTAACCCCAAATTCATATTTCATCCTTAGTTATAAAACAGATGACCATATGATTTAGAACAATGCTATAGTTATCGAAAAATACGTACTAAATTCATATATCGAATGACATGACATCATCCTATTTTCTTAAAAAAAGAAATTAATAATTAATCAACGGTCAGGATGACGCCACGTCATTAGGTGCATGAATTCTTTACGCATTCTTCGGTAACTGTATTATTTTCCTATGATTTATAGCAATACTATACTTACAACCTAATCTTACAAATTTTCTCTCACAATCTCGACGTGACAGCTCGCAATTGGTCAACTCACTATAGGTCCCACATTCTTAATTGCGAACTGACCAATTGCAAGCTGTCACGTCAAGATTATGAGAGAAAGTTTGTAAGATTGAGTTGTGAGCCGATCTTTATTGTATGATTCAAATAAAAATCACCTCACATATATACTCTTTTTAAATAAAATCTTCTTTGACCCTTGTTGGGGATGCTAAAATGGAAAATCGAACATGAGATCGTGTGCTTATCCACATTATTCCTAATTCGCCCTAACCATCTAGACTACCCACCAATGGGTTTCTTTACCCCCTTTTCAAGGATATGGCCAAATCTAAATAGGTTTAATTGGTTTAATATGTTATTGGGTAGCAACCGAGGTAAATCTAACTCAAGACTTCTTGGATGATACCCTAAGAATATCCCTAATCAACCGCTCGATAACATGGATGATAAGTTTAAGTATATTTCTAAAATTATTGAAAAAACCAGTTGTGACACCTCGTGCCGTCAACCCAACCATTGTGTGACAGTTGTATCGGTGTTTTTTATTTTTTTCTTTGTCCTTAAGGTAAAAGTTACTTTGAGATAGAAAAAGAAACTTACTTAGAAAAACAAAACAATTATAACTTCTGTGAGGTATGAAGATGATGAAATTGTTGACGTGATTGATAAATAATTTCGAGAATGAGAATGACAAGCAATACAAGGAAAGGTGGAGGAAAACGGGTGGCAAAAGAGAAAATAAAAGCTAAAAGCGAAGAAACGAGGCAGCCTCTCAAGCATTTGTGTTTCTTGTCCACCAGAGTTGGGGTGAAAGAGTACTTACATTTGCAGGTTTTTCTTTATGAAAGAGCCACATATTTGTGTTAATGTAAAGCCAAAAACTAGAGTGAGACATATCGAGAGTAGTGGAAGTGACAATTACAAAAAAGATTGGCCCTAAGAGAACTCATTTGGGGTCTCAAAATTCAACCCCGAATGCCACTTTATATCATTTGGTTGGCAGGATGTTGTGGACTAAGGAAACGCATGATCAAGAATTTCCACTGACTAATAAAACAAATTATTAGAATATATATATTTTATATCCAGGGATGTCTGATAAAGGTGTTCAAAAGCGGTTAATCAAACCAGTTAACTGCTTTTCTAAATTAAACCGGTTTTTCGGTTCAGGAAAATTTCCAAACTGAAACCGAACTGGTTTGAAGGAAAAATCAGCTTTTCGGTTTGAACCGGTTTTCCCTTTTTTTTATAAAACTTATTTTTTTAATTTTTTCCTAAATTAAATTGTAAATATAAACAATACATATCCAAATAAAAATTAAACATTCATATATATCTATTGACCACTACTAATAATACATTAAAAATTGATACAAATAAAAGTTCAAAATGAAATTATTTTTTTATTTAATATATATTTTTATTTTTATTTAATATACATATATATATAAAATCAATTCAAAAAACTAGTTTCAGTTAACCGTTTTTTATTTTTTTCCGAACTGAAAATCCGGTTTTTTTAATTTTTCGAACCATAACCGAACCATTTTTTCGGTTCGGTTCAGTTCAGTTTAGTTTTTGCATTTTTTTTTAACACCCCTAATGTTTGAGCTTGTTTGCGCGCATTTTAATTAGTTTTTCAGGACCCTGAAATTAACAGTCAGATAAACTTTCAATGACTACCCTTTATTAGTAGTCATAGAGATTCGAATAACTCAAGATCTCTTAAGTAATACACCAAAGTGTCTCAAGCGAATAGTTTGTTTGATGTTCTTTACTAGTTTTTCTACATGTTAACGAGTTAATTTTCATTTTATTATCATAGCATATACAGTTATGTCTAAACGGAGAAATTTGAGGATCTGAACACCAATTTGATGTGTAATCGTGGAAGATCGTCATACACCAACCAACATTGTCTATCAATTCATCAATTACGTAAAGGTTTTCTTTAACATTTGGAAAGTTTAAAACTGAAAGTATTATTAGCCCATCAAAGAAGACGAGATAACTACTTTGACTAGCCTTTTTCTGATGTAAATCTTACACTAGTTCAAAGACTTAAGTAAGGGATTTAACTCTTGTGTATGAAATACTCCCTCTAAGGAAATGCATGATTAAGAATTTCCATTGAATAATAAAACAAATTACTAGAATATATCTTATCTCCAAGGATGTTTGAACAGCTTACACATACCTCAATTATTTTTTCACGGTTCTAAAGTTAACGGTTAGCTTTTAATGATTACCTTTTATTAGTAGTCGTAAAGATTTAAACTTATGATCTTTTAAATAATACACCCAGAGTCGGTTTCCTATAATATTCATTATTGATGCACTTTACGAGTCTGTCTCCATGTTAACGGGGTTTTCATTTCATTATCATTGGCTGTACAGTTATGTCTAAATGGAGAAATTTGAAGCTCTGAACACGAATTTGATGTGAAATCGTGGAAGATCGTCATCCGCCAACCAACAGTGTCTATCAGTTCATTAATTACGTAAGATTTTCTTTAACATTTGGCAATTAAAACTGGAAAGTATTATCAGCCCCTCAAAGAAGACGAGAGAACTCCGTACTTTAACTAACCTTTCTCTGAAGTCTATTCCACAGAAAATATCCTTATCCAAGTAAAAGGCAACTGTATGGGGAAAATATATATTTAATGATGTTCTTATCCCCAATGCAAACTTCTTCAACTGAGTAGAAACTAAATTCAATCTGTAACTCGAATCCATTGACAGATAAGGGTGATTTGAAAAATATATCACTCCAAGCCAGCCTAGCTTTGACACTTGCCACCAACTGTGAGAATGGCACTCTGCACTTCCAGTTGGGGCCAAGAGACTCACCGCCCTACATTTTTTCAAGTCAAATCCTACATCACATGTGTATCTTTTGGTCCCCCTAACCAGAGTCCACCTACAGTTTCTAACCCTAAAATAAGGAATACGTAATATTTTTTTTATATGTGTTGTTGGTTCACTGCTGATGCTGCAATGTGCGCAGCTAATTTGGAAGGAAGTTGGGGTGGAGAGATCAGGTTTAGATTTGAAGGTTAAAAAGAAGAAAAATGGTGGGGCAAAAATGTGAGGTGGTGAGATTTCAGCTTTGCCATCAATTTCTGTTTATGTTTGTGCAAGTCAATTCTTTTGTTATAACAGTGACTTGAATGTGGACATTGTACCTACAATTATGGGCATCATAGAAGACTCTTTTGCATTTGCATTATAGACCATAAAAATTTACCCAACCGAGTATGTATAGTCTATTCTTGTTTTTGGATTATATCCAGACGTACAGATACGCTTTCAGAATTTACAAAAACACGTTTAGTTAGTAGAGGAAATTCAAAGTTTATGAACTATGTCAAACTCTTATAAGAGGTTGCGATCAACTTATGTATACTTAGGTTTGAGTGTTTATAAATTATTTGAGTTTAGGGTTCCAATTAAAATATGTATTCAAGGCAATAAGAAAAAGAGTTTTAATATGCAATTCGTCGACTCTCTGCTACCATTAAGTCGGATTTCAATCAAATGGCAAATATAAGTTTCGTATTGTTATTGATCTATATAACATATTGTCTCGGTTCATTTCAGACTTTGACCGACACTATTATCATCTTTAACATATATTAGTTCCATAATGTTATCGGACTAACTAATAACTTATCATTTGCGTAAATCTTGGACTTTGACTAATTAACTTGTTTAAGAGAATAAATCTTACATTAGTATAAAGAGTCAAGCAAGGGGTTTGACTTTTGTGTATGAAATAATTCCTCTTTGGTGTATTATAAAATTCTGTAATCGTCACTAAACCTCCAATTCTTATCAGTATCAGTCAATTAAATTAAATTAAGCCATGGTTTTGTTCCTTTCAATGACCTTAGCTTATCAAACATGGTATTTAAAAAATTAAAATTATTATTGTATATAATTAAATTGCCAAATTATTGATCTAGGAGTCAACAAACAACCCAAAATCTGATGAAAACAAAATTATCTGAGAAGATTCAGAGACAATTGGCGTGCCCTAATGAACTTGGATGAATGCAATTATTTTGTTCTATAATTAATTTATTTGGTATATAATAAACTATATAACTACTAGTTTGAGAGCTGGCACTGAAGTTTGTCTTCCTGTTAATATTATAAAACTAAATAAATGAATATTAAATATTAAATCATTATCATGGTAGCCACGATTATGCATTGTTGATGCTTGATTTTGACACCCACTATTCGCACGTGAGAAATGCTAAGCGGATTTAGAAGTTACACGTGGTTGTGGAAGTATTTAGTTGAATAAAGGGTGAAAAACAATGTTTAAAGTGGTTCGGATGCTCACAAGACGAATCTTACGTCCACT